CTCTGAAATCTTTCTTTTTCCATAATCAGCTCTCCGGCTTATTGCAGCTTTCCTGCCCTCATAGCGCTGATGCCTGTTGTAATTTAAGAGGTAGAATTAAATTCAAGACTTTTACTGTTGCTACTGCCATTAAAGGGTACAAGCTTTTCTGGAATCATAGGACAAAGACGAAAACTGACTTTGTCTCAATGTATTTATGTCTTGATTTTATTTTTTTTTATTTGTTATATTTTATTGTGGCATGGAGTGCATTCTTTTCTGATGAGAGCACAAAACAATATCTGAGTCTATCATTTGGGTTGCTTTCGATTGTGAGATGCTGTTAACGTGGAAAGAAAATCCTGTGCGGGAGCTGAATTAGTGTGATTGACAAAGGTGCTGCTACATTACAACCTTTTCTTAAAACACCTTTTTGTTGAATTTCTGTCTCATAAAGAAGCAGTGTTCTTGCAAACCACTTGTGATGGCACCTCTGAAAATAAAGTGCCATTTCAGATATTCTGGTTTTTTGAATAACAGTTGACAAATAATGTTGCAGATAGTGGTGACCACAAAAAAAGTAGGAGATTATAAGGATACAGAATTTCTGTCAATGTTATGTTTTTCCACTTTACCTTAATCCCAGCTGTCTTCATTTTCTTCTAAGTTTGCCTCACAGATATAGGATGCAACATATGCAACGAACTTACAGTGTGGCATATTCTGGTCTGGATTTGACCTGATTCAGTTTTTCATGGGTTGTTCAAATACACTGTGCTGCAAAGAATGGGCATTAATCACCCATGGCTCTCAAACAGCTCTGTACAAACTTCTTTATTCAGATCAGTAAGGTAAACTAGGCTCAGATGTATGAGATTGCTGATATGTAACAATATAAATTAAAATGAAGGTATGGATTTCATCCAGCCTGCCTTCTCTTGTCTTCAGCTACCCAAATGCATTGTCAGTACATCTGCTTGTGGATTGTCTGATTTAATTTTGCAGCTTCACTGCCTAGCGAAGGCTAATTGTACATGTGAAGCTCTGTACCCATTGAGGTAATGCCAAGAAAATAGAGATCTATAACCCTGGTTCCACAGCCAGACCATCTCATCATGCACAAATCTAAAAGGTCAGTCTTAGAGCATCTGCTGGTGCTCACCTATGCTCAGACCAGAGAGTGTGAGTACTTGGTGGGTGCTAGATAGTAACAAAAGAGAGTGCTACTTCTGATCCCAAAGTAATTACAGTGCTTTAACTCTTTTGATTTAACATCAGAACTGAAAACTGATATTGATTAATGCATGTATTCCCTTAGCATTTAAACACAGTCATTTTCCGTGTGCTAGCACTAGAAATAGATGTGAGGAATTCAATGTAGTCTTTCAGAAACCAGGAGATATAACCACCATGCTTCATTAACACCGGTTATGAGAAATTATTCAAGATTATTTAACAAACTATACAGGCTTCCACCCTCTGTATTTGACTGGACATTCATGGCCTAATGAGTTCATATTCATTCATTTTTATGAAACTTTGAATGTAGAAATATATGCCTGGGAAAATCAAGTGCCTAAGAGAAGAGACACAATACACAGTAAGGTACTGGAGCACAGGAGAACGGCACTGAGAGTTGTAAAATCACAGAAATTAGACCCAGAAAGGATGTTATTTACCCTTTTCCATCTGGTAAATGTTTAACATCTAAGAACGAAAATTTATTCTGGGTGCCAGTTTGAAAGATTTTTGGTGGAATGATCAAGGAAACTGTTGTTTGCTTTCTGCAGCAGTTCAGAAGCTTGCTCATTCTTTGTAAGTAAACAGATGACATCAAAGACATCTGACTCCATCACCGCCTTCCTCCTCACAGAATCAATAAACAGTGCCCTGAGCTTTGACCAAGTACTCTGGTCAAAGACAGTAAATTTACTCTGTGAAACTTCATCTTTACCTTGATTCTACCAGATGATGATTTCAGTATTTTTCTGCCAGACAAAGGTGACTAGTCACCTTCACATCTCAGGAGAGATGTCATAGCTGCCAGTTGTGGATAAATGAAAACTACAGGGTAGTGATAATTCCTGGCGTTAACTAGATCCTTGCTTTAAAACAAAATCCTTCAGCTTTATCTGTCTTGCACCATCAACAGCTTAGAACTTTGTAATGTTAAGATTTTCCTTGATGCTATTGCTTTTAGATTAGGTGATTTCTGTTTATGTAAAGAGTATGTCTTCACTAGCAATTTCAATGGACAGTATTTGTGTGCCTCTTCATACAAGAATGATGAATGTTGAAAATGTCTGAAGCCAGTATTCCACAAGCATTAAAAGCAGATGGGAAAAATTCTGTCATGATTTAAAAAAAAATAGAGGGTTTAATTCCACCTTCTCTATAGGAAGAAAAAAAAGGAAAAAAAAATGCTCTTTGCTAAATAATACCTTTTCTTGGTTGTACAAAACTGCTTTAAAATTAATTGTTAATATGACAATGATCTCATGTTTCTATGTACAATTCTCTTTCACCAAAGCAGCCACTTGTACCAGTAACGTGCTCGGCTGATACAGCTGGTTTGGCTTTTCATCTCTGTAGTGCTCGCTGTTTCTCATAACTTCTTTCCCCCGACGAAGTTGCCATTTGCAAAATACTGGTATTTCTTTATTAACTCTCCACCTCCTTTGAATATGACAGTTCCACAAGGTATCCTCATGCTCTTACAGCTGTTATACTCCTTTAACTGCTGCTTTCACAGACTTAAGCTCTTAAATATAGCCTATAGTATGAATTGTTTGCTATACTCCACAACTGCCTGTGTAATATAATAGCTCGGCAATATCTCTTGCCATATGGAGCACTGCAAGCTGTTCTTGAGCAGCACTGCTGTCCGTGAGAAATCGTTTCAAAGATGCATTCTTTTGAACATATATTAAATATTCTAGCATAGAAAAAGCATCAGATTAGAATTTCAAATGGTGAAGTTGAACTGATTTACCCCAGTGGGGCATCAGATTTTGTGGGCATTTCTTTTGTTTGTTTTTAGCATGCATATATTCACAATTACCTAGCAACCAAGATAAACTTACCAGACTGTTTGGTGTCTAATAAAACTTGCAACTTCCATTACTGTCAGGAAGAAATGTGGTTCTCAGCTACAGTAGATCATGGTATAAGCTGCACAGAAAATTCCTCCTTTATATTTTTTCTAATCTGTAAAGTCTTACATCCACAAAAAGTGATAATATGTTTTCAAACATAAATATAAAAAACCAGCAAACAGTTTCTAAAATAATATTGATCTTAGTTTGCTATATTTTATGTAAGTTGAAAAAAGATAGAAACTCTTCAGAGTTGAAAGTGTGATGCTGAGGAAAAAATGGTGGGAGAGCATTCTGTAACACATAAGCCTATTAATTATTAATATGATTTAAGTAATGGTGACTTGTGTACTGTCATTGTCAAATTTTAGCTTGAGTGGAGCTATTGTTTCACCTTTATTGTGGGCTGACTTTTTTTTTTTTGGTCTCATAGTATATCTTATTTCCTTTCCTGTGTTGTTTCATTTCTATGTGTGAGGCAAAATCGGTGCAGAGGATACAAAGTTAATTATATCTTCATTAATATAAGAAACTATCTTAACAACAAACAGAAAAATCAGGAGATTTAAATAAGAGGAAAGATAAAAAGACAATCAAATATGGTTTTTTTTCTAAGAAAAAATGCATACCCAGAGGAAAAATCAATAATTGTATATAGTTTAATCTTTATGTTTTTTTGCAAATTAGGGTGGGAAATCTTAAGCAATATAAATTAACAAGAAAAACAGGTGTTGAACACTAAATAACTAATTCCAAAGGAACTGTGCTGATACATACTCAAATACAGCTAAAATTTATTTGCACAGATGTATACAATTTAATTTGGCAAATAGGCAGAGCACTTGCCTCACTCTGTCTGTTGCCACTGGCAGAGATACATTTTGTGATTCAGAGGACTAAAGTTACCTTTATTGATGATTCTGCAAATGCGGTCTGTGTGCTGCTGAGTAGTCTGCAAGGTCATAATAAATGCCTGTATTTATTCTGTGCATGCTAGTCCTCAAGAAATTTTAAAGCTGCAATTGAAGCCTGTCATTGTTTCAGAAAGTTTTACTGACCTAGCCTGATTCCTTTTGCATACCCTGGACTACGACATTTCACTGAAATTCATTACATGACACATTGTGTTAAGGCATATCCTTTAAAAAGACAACAGATTTGGCTTCGAAAACTTAAACTGAAGGGCAATCAGCATATCCCAAAGTCATTTATTTCAGTGTTTAATTATCCCCATAAGTTGGAACAAATCACCAAGGAAATTAACCCACGTTATGCACGAAGTCCATTGTGTATGTGATGAAAGACATTACTCCCTGAGAAAACAATGTGATCTAAGGCGTAAAAAATGGAAGATGAAATCTGCTTTATACAAAATTTTTGTTCATTGGTACTAACTGATCCATGACGCATTATTTTGTGGGACAAAATATTATCAATGAGTTGATTGTGGACTTTTTAAGTAACAGCTTTTTCTGAGTTCTTATAAGTTAAGCTAATGATTATACGATTTGTCTCCACTGAGCCTTATTATTTCACTATATATATGTGCAGTGTATATATTGTAATATTTTGGGTTTTATTTATATTGCATAAGTGTCTTAAGGAGAGTGTTGCCTAAAAGATTGCAGAGAAAAGGCTCCGGGCCAATTTAGTGTAGGAGATAAGGTGAAGAGAGCAGGAGCTTTAATGAGTTGTTATACCCACAGGAATACATACCCTTTCAGACAGTGGTTCTGTGATTTTATAATAAGGTCCATCCAATCCCAATTTGTCCACCCCCCAGTTCTGCCCCATGCCGTCCCTTCGGGAATTGAGTCTAGGGGTATTTGGGATCCCCTCTTCCTCATCTTCATCTTCCTTGAAGCACGTTCAATCCTTGAAGCTCCTCCAAAGTTCTGGGCTTGAAGGTCGCTGTGTCTGTGTGATATCTTCTGGTCCAGGCCTTAAGGTGTTTTTCTGCAATTCTGCCTTGAAAAGAAGACTAAACAGCTAACAGAATTTAGAGGGGTTGATATCGGATGGGGTTTGGCATGTGTAAACATTATGCTACAGGGTAAGGGATATAATACAGCTACATTAAAATCTACATTCACTACACATCTACTTCTAAAATCTATAAAAATTAAAGAAATCAAAATGCTCTGAGGCATCAAGGGTAAGGAAGAGAGAGAGAAAGAGAGAGAAAGAGGGATGCCCCATATATTGAAGGATGACAGGCATTTCAAAGTAAAGGACAAGTGCTGAATTGCTAACTATGATGTTATTATTTTCTGAATTTGTAGTGCAATTGCCTGAATGTTACATATGCCCTTTTTATGTACATGTAAAATATTTTGGAAATGAAGGAAAGGATTGGATTGTATTTTGTTATCCAGCTTGGAGGCTCATCTTACTAATAGGACTGTTGTTGTTACCATTTATTTAATCAAAGCTTTTAAATATGCCAATCTAACTTACTCTTTCTTGCTGACCATTAGATAAATACATAGTTTTGTTGTTTCTGAAGCACTATAAACTTATAGGAGAGAACCCACTCAGTACTTTATAAAGAATACAAAATATTTAAAAGTATGAAAAAGCTTTTTCATAGTTTGTCAACTGAATAAACTGACACATTTTCCAATATTTCTAAGGTTTTAAATATTAGACAAATAAGTTATTGTGGATAAAATGCTGCTGCACAGCAGCTGAGCCATAATAATATCAATTTGTTAATGCATAATGGTAAGTGCAAATAATTCAAGTTTCTTTTAATCTTTCAAAGTAGATTGAAGTACCTCCAATAACTTGAGGATGTTTTTTTATGATGGACTGATACTACATACATGAAAATTTACCATTTATAAGCTGGTGTGTGATAAATTGTTCATGTAACTAAGCCATGAACTGTGTTCAAGGTCACATTAAGACAGGGCTTTGAGCAACCTGATGTCCCTGTGAAAGATGTCCCTGCCCATGGCAGGGGAGTTGAACAAGATACCTCTAAAGATCTATCCCAACTCAAACCATTCTATGATTCTATATTAGGACTGTTGGTTTTAAGTTATATACATGGTTTTAAGCACACAACCCAAATGTGTTATTGTCTTCTTGTAGGGTAGAAGTCTCTAAGGAAACATAGGATGAATAAAAGTGATATAGGAACCTTGGTTATGAACAAATATTAGTGGGAGTTTTTTCTTTTTTAAGGAAATCACACTACAGATTTTAAAACTCTTCAGTCCTATTTACATTACTAGCAGCATAAGCGTTTTCGTATCAGATATCTCTGATTCTGCACAAAAAAAATTGCTGTGTCTATAGTTTTATTGTTGATTTCAATAACAGTTACAAAGAAAAAAAATCTTTGCAGATTAGCTTATCCTGGAGCATAAGCTGGAGTAATATTTGAATTGCAGTTGCATTTGTGCAGTTAGGCCAAGTCACTCTCAGTGTATCTCCATTAGCTTTATTAATGTTCTATAGGTAATTATTCTGGATATTTTCTTTTATATAAATACTGATTTTACTGCAGAATGCTGAGAGGGCTGGCTGCGAAAAATTTTGGCAATGTAATTCTAAGTCTATCAACTTGAGCCACGTATCATAATTTTCAAATAAATAATCTATAAATTGTTGTATTGGCGAACTATCTATGTTAGTTAAAGTCCTGATTTGGGTGCAAATTAGGAGATTGAAATTATTTGTATAGTTGGTGGTATAGGTCGTGGTAAAATTAATTGGACTAGTTTCCAGTCACGCAACCTCACAAGTCATTTTAGAAGATAATGCAAAATTCTCTATCACCATTGGCTGTAGTTTAAAGTGAAAAGTGGCCATGTGGGGCAAGGGAGGGTGGAACTATCTTGACCATAAATGTAAGTTGAAAATAGAATTGTGAATGAATCTAATCTTAATGCTGCTCAGCATTTGTGTGCAAAATGAAGTCAGGAGACTTTCAATTTTGCTATTAATGTATATTCTATTCTTAACTCATTTGATTAGAAATGGAGTTCAATGAACATGTTCTGTGAAATATTACATTGTCTTATTGTTACATGAACTGACACAAATTGTTCAGAAGATCTAAAAGGAGACAAGATAGTTTTCCTGGAAATGAAATTTTCGTTTTAATTTAATTAATAATAGTGTTCATTAAACCACACAAAGTATGCCACTATGTGTCTGACTACATCATCCCTCCAAAATATGTGTATTTTTTAAAAAACTTGAGAGTTGTTCTTCCCAATGGCATCTTGAGGGATTCAAGGCAGGCAGTTTTTTCCGAAGTATTGAAGTCAACTGTTTGTTCCCTCAGATATGACACGCAGTTCCCATACACAAATGCATGAAGCATGGGGATTAAACAGAGCCATGATCTCATTGGGGTTAGGGAGATGTGATGGGGTAGCTCAAATGACTGGGGTGCTATGAGAGACGGACACAAGGTCTTCAGGAAGGATCAAACAGGATGGTGAGGAGAGGGATCTGCCTTTGATGTGAGAGACCAGTGGGGATGCCTAGAGTTCTGTCTACGGGTGGTTAATGAGTTAATTCAGAGATCACAGTTCAGGATTTGTGGGTAGAGCCAAATATCCAATGTTCTTGTGGGTTTCTGCTACCTGCTAACTTACCAGGAGGTTGATGGGGCCTTCTGCAGAGAGCTGAAAGAAGCATCATGGGAGACTTCAACCACCCCAATACCTGCTGGAGGGACAACACAGCAAGACACAAGTAATCCAAGAGGTTTCTAGAGTGCAAGGAGGACAAACAGGTGATCAAGGGGCCAGCAAAGGGCATTGCTCTGCTGGACTTCATACTTGCAAACAAGGAGAGATTGGGTGGGATATGCATGTTGGGGGCAGCCTTGTCTTTAGTGACCATGAGAGAAGGGAGATCCAGAAGAGTTGGATGATTTTCAAGGATCACCTCCTGCAAGCTCAGCTAAATAGGGAGCTCCTGTCTAAACACAGATATGAAAAGGAAGCATACAAGGGCTGGAAGCAGGAACAAATGACGCAAAGAAAATATAAGGTTACCATCAGTGCATGGAGGGGTGGGCTGAGGAAAATTAAAGCCCATCTGGAGTTGATATCTGACATGAAAGGCAACAAGAAAGACTTCTGCAGGTATGTCAGCTGCAAGAAAGGCTATAAAAATGTAGGTCTGCTCTTGAATGAGACAGGTGGCCTGATGTCAAAGGAAGTGGAAAAGGACAAGGTAGTTAATGTCACCTTGTTCTCAGTCTTTATCAGTATTATTGGTCTTCAGGCCCCTGAGACCAGAGGTAAAGTCTGGAGCAAGGAAGACTTACCCTCAGTGGAGGAGCTTGCTGATGATGCAAACTGAGAGAAGTGTTTGATGCGCCAGATGGCTGCACAGAGATCTTGAGCTGTCTCCACCCTTGGAGATATTCAAAAGCCATCTGGGCACTGCTCTGGGCAACCTGCTGTCAGTGATTCTGTTGAGCAGGGGAGTTGGACTAAATGATCTCTAGAGGTCCCTTCCAACTTTGCCTATTCTATGTTTCTTTTTCAGTTAAGCTATTTTCTTATTTAGCTCTCCTGCTAAGGGCTTATAGGGACCCTTGTAGGCCTGGGTTTCCATTTGAGCACCTTGTTTTAACATTCCATTGTTTATTTTTGCAGAAATTCTACAGCAGAAGACAGCAAGTTTAATAAGACTTGTTTGTACAAACAAAAGGTACTTTATCCCAAATAGCTGTAAAAATCTGAGTCTGAACAAAAATTCATCCTAGTCTTAAACATCAACAATTCCAAGTGTGTGATGCTGCCAGTCTTTGCAGTAACAGGCAGACAGATGGGTTCATATGGAGAAAGAAACCTGCCTAAACCTCCAAGGAGAAAAACACAGAGATTGAAAAAAGATTTAATCTCTGCTACCTTAGGTTTGCAAAACCTAAGAGCACATGTATCTCAAAATACCATGTCATGGAGACATAAAAATTTCTTTTAATGTTTCTAGTATACATATGTAATAGAACATTTATTCTGAGGAAGCCTCTCCAGGCAAAGTGGAGAGACTTGAAAGAAATGGCACTAAGAACTATTTCAGAAACGAAACATCAGCTGCCACTCACTATCCAAAGTTTTGTGCCACTTGAATGGTTGTGAAAAACTTTTTTCCCAGGGATGAAACAGACACCATTTAAAGTATAGGAATGCATGCAGTAAGGATGCAGAAAGCAGTTACCTTTCGTCAGGTTGGGATTGTTGGTTTCCCACTGAAATGAATTCTGCTTATTTCAGATTTTTTTTATGTCAGTTCAGACTGTTTCTTAGTCTGTATATTCTCTGGTGAGTTACTAGTTACTGTTCTCATAGCTGGTCAGACTGAACATTTATATCGAATTTGTGTCATTTCAGCTAATACCTATACTAGAGGAAAATTACATTGACCATTGGTTCATACCAATGGTGATAAGCACACAGAATAGCATAATGTTCAGTGCCCCTTATTTTTATTCCCTAAGCAGCTTGGACCTATGCAAAAGCCATTTGGAAAACTACAAAAAGTAACATGGGTCAGCAGCTGCCTCAGATAGGAATAGAGAGGGAAAAAATAGCATACAGCAACAGTACTGCTTCAAGCTTCTGCAGCTGAGTGATTTTTGAGGTTACTTGATATTTATAGGCACAGTTTCTTACAGTGTGATTTGATGCATAGGTTACACTTGCAGTTTTATGGAAACCTGTTCTGTGTGTTGTTTGTTTTGCAGTTTAATATTACATCATTTTTTTGTTCTTATGAGAAACAGAGTTGGGGCGAACAAGTGCAAATAGTAATTATATTTTTGGCAAAAGAAATCATATCTGCTTGGTTTTTCTGGGATGTGAAAAGATCACCTTAACATGCTAGAATGTCACAATTCTCATCCACTATGAAAGGCATCATTAGTAAAGGTATTGATTATTGTAACCACATGCTTCTTTGAATTTCTTTCTGTCTTTGGGGAAGACTTTTTTAACACATTTCACGTCATGTAGTCCTATAGCATATGCTCCAGCTTAGTCGTCAAATGGACTTTTCATAGGTCACAGCATCATCCTCTGGGATATAATTCAAAATTGAACCAGATCCATTATAATTTTAGACTTCTGTTTCAGATCAAGTTATATCCCTTACATATTGCCATGGTAAGGGGGAAACTCTTTTGGCACTCCTTGAAGTAAATTTAGACTTCACTAAGGGCATCATAACGAGCAATTCAATGACTTGTGCCTAATTCATTAAAAAAAAAATATGATTCTGTGAGATAAGATATGTAATATTTTCATGCAGTTAAAGAAAAAAAGATTAAAATACAGGAAAAAATTATTGTTCCATTTAGCATGGGACATAAATATAATAATATCAACCTGGATCTATTAATCAACTTTAAGCATTGGAGATATTTGAGAAGAGCATCAGTTTAGGGTAGACTTTGGTATACAAAGTTCTGCTCTGTCCTCTCAGGTATGAATAGACAATCTTATATGCAAAATCTCTATACAAGTACACCAAGCATACTGATGTACACCAAGCAGGCATTTGTGCACTGGTACGTGGGGGAGGGCATGGAGGAGTTCTCAGAGGCCTGGGAGGATATGGCTGCCCTGGAGAAGGATTATGAGGAGGTAGGAGTGGATTCTATCGAAGAGGGGGAGAGGAAAAAAAGGACGAAAAGGGACAAAACCAAAACAGATATGCACAATTGAAACCCGGGAACTAGCAAAATAAAGAACCAGCAAAATGAAATCTCACCGCTTCCCTTAAGAAAAGCAGGATCGCGCCAGGCATGGCCAGCACCCTCCACCTCCCATGTGGCAAACAAGTCTGAGCAGGCCTCAACTCCCAGATAAGCGAGACCAACTGCAGGGATCTGCTGTCTCTCAAGTTTGCAGGAAGAGAAAAGAAGAAGAGGTCTCTCTCTCTGTCTTGTTTATACCTCTGTTTACGTAAAGGGATAGGGTGAAATACTTCCTTGGTTACTAGGAAGGAAGGCCTAAGACTCAAAGCCATTACAAATCTCTATGCGAGTATGTAAACCATTCAAGTCCCATTCCCAAATGGGATTCAATTTGCCCAAAAGTAACAAACTTGACTAATTTTTGCAATGTTTGTAGTAATCTTTTTTTTTAGAGTGCAAAATTTTGATAGCAAGAACTCTCTGTGGAGGTAGAATTTTATCCTCATCGGGGCCTAAAGGTACCATCTGTGATACAAGCAACCAATAATACACTCCATTCAGAACCAGTGACTACAGGGAGATGAAAAATGAGTATATTTTGACATGGAAATCTCCCTGATTGATATTGATATCTAATGCGTGTACTACTTTGTACATTTTGATAAAATCTGTTTTTCTTTTGAAATAGACCTTATTTTCATAGGACTGAAAGAATGGAAATGAGTAGATGAATATTAATATACTTCAAACTTAGGGAGCATTTTACTTCAATGCTTACTTGTTTGCCTAGCTTTCGTCTGTTGTTTTTCAAAAAGGACAGTGGAAATTATTTCAAAGACTCAGTCAGAGACAAGAAAATTAGCTTCTGGTCCTAGCACCTGTAACTTTCACTGAAGAATTCAATAGACTTTCCAGGTGCTCAGCATCAATTTGAATTAGTCATTAAGAACATGCATGGCAAACCTTACTGTAAGGTGAAATGGTGAAGTAATAAAATCCCTTTATAAAAATGCTAAGAGAAGCTTAATGGCAGTGAAGGGAATGTTGCTACTTTTATAAAATTTTTATGCTTCATTGCAGATTGGTGTATAAATGCGGGGCAAAATTCATCTTTATATTTGCCAAATTACATGATTTTGTGATGACAGATCCATATTTATTTATTAATAATTCAAATTCCTTTGGATTGATATTAGCTACCTCTAGCAAGGTGTATTATACGATTAATCCTTTCTTACCTGTGATTTAACTTAATTCTCTTTCATTTAATAAAATACCCTCACCAAGAACATTGCTATGTTAAAATATAAAATGATACTTCTACTTTTCCAGTGAATTAGTCTAACTAGCCTATTATGTTAATACAGGACTTATTAAGTCACTCATTAATTCTGTCTGCAAGTATGACACCCAAGGAAGCAATTTATGTTTGTTGTAATTGGTGTCGCTTGAAAAGCCAGTTTTATGAAGCAAATTATTTTTTTTAACACATTCACTTCCTTATAATCAATCTCATAACTGATACCATTTTCTGTCTGCTCAGCCATCTCATCTCGCAGGTTGAAGATTAAATCATGCTAAGGTATCACCTAAGTCCTTTGCTTGATCTACACCTTGCTTTCTGATATTAAATCAGCCTGTAAGCTACTATACCTTTTGCATGTCCTTGCTATGCTGGATAGCATCACAATCTTAATGTTATAAAAAAATAAAATCATTCAGCACCAATTAGGGTTGTAGAGGTGTTGTAAGGTAACTCTGACTGATCAATAAAGGTTTTCTATCTGGAGTTCCCTGCTGAAAGAAATATCTTGGCTCTTGACCTTGTACTTTACACTTCATTCTGTGATATATTATTATGTCAAGCTACAGCAGATGGTGAGGGATGCAATGGGAGGTGAGTACATTACACCCTATTCTTGACTGCCTTTGACTTTAACTGCAGCATTTATATTACTCTGCCTTTGCCTCATCAGCTTGAGAACTGAAATGTTGTGACTGGCTCTGTGTCACCTCTGACCATCATTTTTCTGCATTAGACTCATTTTCCTTTCCGTCTTTATCTGTCTTTTTTTCCACGAAGGATCTCCCCACTGCATTTTCTTTCTTCTACTAAAACATATCCCAGTTTCTTCTCCCTTGAAAGTATTTTTTACTGTTGTGACTTTTGGTTCTTTTTGTGAATTGGTTTGATGCTTTGTCAGGGAAAAGTGATGGAGAAGGGGCAAGTCACACATTAGCACTAGCTGTATAGTCCAACAAGAGAGGCAATAATGAAAATTAAAACAGAGCAAAACCCCCCAAAAATGTCTATAGTGCAGTTTTCTGGTATGCCTTGTCCCCTTCAGTTGAAAAATGGGAACTGAAGACCAATTTTGCATTGTCTTAACTTCAAGTTAAATGACGGATAATACAGAGTAAACAACTGATTTATTTTTTTCAGGAGCATATGGGTTGAGCACAGATACCCCTTTTATGTAGAGTTTAAAATAAATGATGCTGCAGCTGTTAATGAGACTGAGATACTGCTATTATGGTAAAAGTGCCTAACTAGCATGAATTGCATTTGATACATTTTCGCAGATGATATTCTTGTTTTCTAAATTGTTTTTTTTCTAAAAATGAAGTCAGTATCTGTCTTCCCATTCATCATAACTAGGTAAGTAACCACACAAAATTAATTAAACCTGCTGTACGATGAGAGTTTTCAAGAAAACTCCCAGGATCTGGCTAAGCTACCTCCAGTAACATCAACTGTGTGGTTAAATCCTCAGCTATCACTTTGAAAATTTACTGTCTGATGTCAGACCTATGGGCATGATTATACTGAAGTGCTGAAAAGGGAAGGTGACCATACCATCTCATAATCGGTTTTCTCTGATATGAATAGCACTGGATTTCAAATCAGACATTGAGCAAATGTCTGAAGTATCTGTTTTTAAAGGGAAAGTAAAGCTTCAGTAAGTAGATACTCATATTGTTTCACAGTTTTTAGAAGAATTACTAATACAGTTCTTACATCGCTGGTAAACACAGATGGGCTTCAATATCTGAAAAAGAAAAAAGAATAAAAATGCTATAAAACAACAATTTGGCCACCAAGCTTAGAAAATCTTTAAAATGCCCTCAACAAGAAAGGAGTAGAATATAGTTATAGTGTAAGATGATGGGATCTGTAAGGAAGGAGAGGAAAGAGGCTGTAACAGAACTGATCCCTATTTAACTAAGTATTAAGATTGTGTAGGCAAAATGGATGTCAAGCTTAAACACCTAAAGGAGGACATCAGTCCAGTTTATAATAATAATAATAATGGCCAGTCTTCGCGAGCGAAGATTTGGGAAAGGTCATTAACCCTTCGAGCCTGCGCAGTGGATTTTTTAGGTGAGACCCAGCGTGCGCTGAACTGAGCCCACCCTTTAATCCTGAGGTTCATCTGCTGGGGCCAAACAAGCTTGGACAGTAGCAGTGAGGGTCTCAGAACGTAGGTTTGTTTAGAGTGACCTTCTCTTAGATGGATTGCCTCACAGGGCTAAGGAGCGCCATCTGCCCGGGGGGCTGGGAATCGAACCTGGGTCTCAGCGGTGAGAGTCCTGCACCCTAACCACTAGACCACTAGAGGCCCCCAGTTTACATAGCTTAAAAACCACCCACTGTCCAAAACTGTGACAAACACATAACTCTATTTGCTTCTATTCATAAAGCAGTAAATAGCTCATTTTTCATAAATGTCCTTGCAAGTTACAGATATCTGTGAAAGCATGTTTTTGTGCACAAAAATCTGAGCTGAATACCTGAAAATTAGGTGCAGAAGTTCAAGAATACATATCTGAGATTTTATAATCTTTAAAAAATAAATCTCATGCATCCCATCAGAAACAGGTGCAATTCTGTATTGCTAAACTGACATATGAGAAAAAAAAAAAGCAGAAAAGGTAAAATCCTGTCCCTTTGAAGTCAAGAATAAAACTTGACTGTATTGGAACCAATACTACCCAGTGATTATATGAAAGCCACACTATGCAAAGCGAGCAACATGTGTATATTGAAGCAGATACACAGTTTACTGGCAAAATTAGCTACAGGCAATCATGGGCTGATCACAGGTAACAATATCTGTTAGAAAAGAAAGAGCAAGGGGATAAAAACTATGTATTATCCAGACAATGACTTATATTCCTAATAAATCCTCCTGGGACAAGGTCTGTCAGTGCATGAAGTGATGCCGTAAGGTCCATCTGTTTTTTTCTTATTTTCCTAATTTTATAAGCTTTATAAGTAGTTAAGTAGTAAAAGTAGATTTTAGAAGCAGCAGCCCTTATTCCCTCACCCTTTAGCACAAGTAGTTTACACATTCCTCAGCCCTCTTACCCCATTGTGTTCCCCATATCAATCCTACCCCTGAATTCCAGTAGAAAATGTTTAGTCTTTTGTCAAGGCAGGCCTCTCCTGTTTGAGGACATCTAATCCTGGCCTGAACTGCAAGAGAACAGTCAAGAACTGGGTGACCATGTACCCTCTGTACTATTGGACAGATAGTATTATAAATTGTAACACCTGAACACGGCCTGCGCGCGCGTCTTGTAACATCTATGTCTAGGCACAGATTAAACCCTTTTCTTATTTCATCCTCAATTAACTGCTCCGGAGTTTTTTTTCCTTAGCTCCTGATAGGCATCAAAGGAATACAAAAAATCTTTCTCAGTTCTGAAATTTAAAAATAAAATTAATCCTCCTAGTTAAAAACTGCCTTTTTTTTCCCCCATTAGAAAATGACACATTTCCCACTTTAAAAGTATGTTTCCGTTATGAAACAGATACTGGAAAACAAGAATTTACATTCATTGAATATAAAAGTTCCACTTATTTCACTGGGTCTGTCTACAGAATGTGCTGCTTCAAAAAAAGTGAGATTGACAAAGAAAATCTATCTTTTAAGTATGTTTAATTATGTATCTGAATCTCTCATTGATTTTTTCCTAGTAACATTTTTAATTGTCTAGACATTCAAGCTTTCCTTTGAATATAGAAAATACATTTAATGTAATGTTTTAAAAGATGAGAGCACTGTGTGGATAATGACGCATTTTGACCTAGAGCTCTGATAGTATTCTCACAAGAGAATTAATGATTTGTTCCACACACTTGTTTGTCTGCTTTATATCTGACCATACCTAATTAACCCTTGAAGAATATACAATCCCCAGGGCTTCCTTTAAGATATACTTT